ATTTTATTTATTTAGTAATAATAAATATATATCATTTGATATATTAACAAAAATTATAATATACATTAACTTGAATAGAAAATAATTGTATAATTTTAAAACATTGTATATATATATATTAAAATTATTAAACTTTTATTAATGGAGAGACTAAAATCACACAATTATGATATTTGAGGGATTAAAATTATTCAATTAAAAATTAAAGGACTATAATCACATAATTACAATTTTTTAGGGATTAAAATTACCCAATTAAAACTTTGGAAATCAAAATTACACAATTGCAATACTTGAGAGATTAAAAACGCAATTGAGCCTTTCTTTTTTCTTATTATCTCTCTCCTCTCTTTATTATACAAATTCTTAATATAGATTACGTACTAGGATTAATATAGTGATTGAAAAAAAAATTATATAAAAGTAAGATGATTTAAATTTGATCCTCGTTATATTATTATAATTTTTTATGAATAAAAAATTCAAATTATTGGATAAAGAAATTATATAAACACGATTTCTATTGTAGTTATCATTGTACGTTAAATGATGAGTTGTTGTAGAACATTAGTTACATATTATTGTCATCCATGTATGATTAATTAACTGTTATACAGATATTGAATATTTAAAAGTAAATTGAAAATTATAGCAAAACTGAAATTATGATTTTCTAGTTTTGTGTATAGCTCAATTGTTAGAAGTTACCCATAATTATTGTATGCTCATCAGAAAAGGGAAAAAACACGTTTTAAATAATAAACATACAGTTTGTAGAGTTTTGTGAGAATCTTTACGATATTTTTACCACCTAATTTTCCAGATCTGTCTATATCTTGCTGTGTATTTTTCTAATTTCTCCTGAAGGCCATGGGTCTATTTAGAGACATGGTTAAAATTTCGAGAAATTTTATAATACTCATTTTATTTGAGATGATACTGGTACAATTTTTTATATTTTATATTTTTAATAATTTATTTAAATAATATTTATGATATTTTATTCTTTTAATTTTTAAATTATTTACTCATTTTATTTTTATTTTATATATTCTAATTTATTTGTAATAATATTATTATATATTTAAATAGTTTAATTTTAATAATTTTTTAAGTATATTTTTATCTTTTCACTTAAAATTTTTGAATTTCTATATTTTAATTTTAATAATTTTTTATGTCTACTATTTATTAATTTTTTCTTTTTTAATATTTTATAATATTATTGAAATCTTATAATTTTAATCTTTATAATTTTATCTTACTTTTTATTTTATAAGTATAATTTGAATTATTCATTTTATAATTAAATTAATTTTTTTAAATTTTTTATGAATTTACATAGAAAAATATATTGAAATCCTCGATCTTCGAGGGTAGTGTAGCAACTCCCTAAATAAACATGAACAACTGATGTGATGAAGATTCGAACCATAGTTTATCACTTTGTGCAAACTAATCTCCTCGTTAAACCTACCTTTCATTAATAATGTACAGAGTATTTTGTGAAAGATTAAAATATATATTTTCTGTTTTTTACTTTACAAGTGTTTACATTTCACGATCAAGAGAATGGACTAGACTAGAATAGATGATAGCACGTTACAAAACAAGAAATCAGGAAGATATAGTAGACTAGTTGTAGCTTTGTTGCCCCCACTGTTTTAACTTGTTATTTGTCCTCACACCACAATCATGTGAAAATTCCATTCTCTTTCTCCTTCATACGCTCTCATCTACAACAATCTCGAGAATCACGGGCATAGCCGCGTAATCTCTTGGCAGCTATCAAAATCGGATTTGATAACAAAATTTAAAACAACTCACGATTCACAACATGTTTAGAAACCATTTTGAATGACATGACGTGAAATTTTAGAAGTAACTATGTTTAGATTTGGCGTTAATTTTAGAAAATGACTTGAAAAATTAAAGAATGTACATCCAAAACGTATTTTAAAATACGCACTCAACCAACTGAATTAGATTTCTTAATTTTTTTCAGCTGCTACACAAAGACCACTCTTCTCTATTGTTTCTTAATATTTGTCAAGAAAAGCCCCACAACTAACACGTATCCACGGAATAAAAATTAAAATGGTAAATACAAACAAGATTCCAGTCAATCGAGTTTTCTCATGCGCATCATCTTCTTGTTTCTTGTGCTGGACTCATTTACTAAATCTAATTAGACATAAGCAAAACATTGGTAAACTTGTTGCACCAAATTGGAACAAACGTGCAAAAACAGTTAAATATGTTCAATGGATCATCAGAATAAACATAAAAAAAGGGTGCATGTTCATTTAATGAGTTATCCTCCTTTACCACATTGTAGAATGTATAACATTTAAATGATTAGTATACCAACTATGACTTTCATACAAAGCTCCACTCCATCCTAAACCCAACTTTGAAACGAGCATCTGACAGCTTGAAAAGTTGCTGTTGTTGCCAGTTGGATTGGGAAATGGTAAGAAGACTGTGTTCTGTACATACCTATACACAACAGGCATTTATCAAGCATATCTGTTGACTGCTGAAAAAAGTGAAGATCATAAATATGGTTATGAATACTATATATGTTATGATCAAGGGGATGTGGTGGTAGGGGGAGTAAGTAGGTAGGGATCTCAGGTAAAAGAGATGAGAATTTATGGAGTTGGGTTAAAATCAGTATCGGTTGAGAATTGACCAAAAATGTCAGGACAAGATTCCCAGTTCCCTTTTTCCCTGGTCTCCCAGTACCCGCCAGCATAACGGTAGGTATTGCTGCCTTTTTCCTTAGCAAACCAACTTGCTTTCCATCCCTTCTCTTGCATCTTCCGTGCCTACAATTATGGTCGGTTAATGAACAAAACCATTTTAACTATCATAAAGATTGTTTAGACATACGCTTAGAGGAGTTTTTGAGAATTTCAAAATTGAAAGTAAAGAGTTTTTTCGAATAAAAGAAATTTTAAAAACTCTCTTAAACTTGTATCCAAAGTTTGGGACCAATAAAATTTCAGATGCAACAATTGTACCTGGCGCTGTCTTTGTTCCAGCCGTAACTTCTCAGAGTTGGCCATTTCATGCTGTCCATTCTCCAAACACCTTTGATCAGGTCTTAACCTTGAATCTGTCGGTGGCAATTTCTCCTGTTTGTGAACACAAAATGTCAGTACTAAGTACTAACCAACCACATAGGATTTAGTACTTGTTTGAGTGAGCTTAGCAATATTAATTTTGAGCAAAACTAATTCTGCAAAATTGATTTTGAAGTGAAAATATCATTAGAAGCAAGTTAGCACTAAAATACATTATAAAATTTTTATTCAATGCAAAAGTTACTTAGTCCGTGTTTGGTATTCCATAATGATCCATGTTTCCTCAAATTTTCACGTTTAAAATACCAAATTGATGGAGTGTGTGTTTGGATTGGCGTTTTAATCTACGTTTCTAAATAAAATCACGTCAATTTATGGAGAAGAAAGTAATATCTACTTCTCATTTTCACGTTTTTTACGCGATTCAAATCCTCTGACGCGGAACCAAACACGCAGGGAGAAGCAAGTATTTGTTGCTTCCAATTGATCCACATCCAACTCAAACTGACACAGAACTAAACGTAGCCTTAAAGTTAATTCAATTCAAAATCAATTCTGCAATTCATAATGAATTCTTCAATATGAAACTAATAGCGTGTTAGATTTGGTGATAGAAAACTATGGTGGATATAGAATTACAGTGAGTTCACCACAAAAACAACTATTTGTTGCTTCCAAAAATCACGTTAACTGGTATTTCAAATGTGAGTATAGATGATTGAATGTAAAACCAAACACTCACTCTCAGGGTTATGTGAAAGGTGGGTTTAACAAAAATCCCATTTGAGTCAACACTCACCTTTAGTCCAGGTGTGAGTTCATTTAGTGTCATAGCAAATTGTGTGAGGTTATATCTTGTCTGGTGCTCCGGTGCAGGGTTCCGTTTCCACAGAAGATGTGGTTTTGAAGACGGATTGGATCCTTTTCCTTTCCCAGAATTCCCTCCAATTACGTAATGCAAACTCTCATCCCACTTCCCAAATAGAGTTGCCACTGTTTTACCTTTCTTATCTTCCACTACGCCGTTAACCTGCAGCGGAACTTAAATTACAGAGCAGAAGTTACATAATATGTGTATGGACTATACTCAACACAAAAAAAATATGTGACGCCTATTGTAATCTTATATATCGGCAGTCAATGAGAAAAGTAAAATTGGCATCCATTATCAAACTAAAACTGACATGAATTCATTTGATTCAACAACATAGAAGAAATGCTGAAGAAACTAACATAGGCTTCATGTGAAGACTGAAGTAATAAAAAACGAATAGTGGCATGGATAGAAGTTGAATGAAATTAAAATTACTTGCCAAGGTTAACTGTCTGATGCAATAATCATCGACAACAAACAGTGAATGGAGTGTATATACCAATTTCTCGCGTTATATTTCTATAAATAAACGGTTAAACTTAAATAAATACCCAAGATTGAAATAAAAAATCATGCACGTTTTTATCTTTTTTGTACTTTTAGGATTTGCCATCTCAATACATACTTTACTTTTCACTCATGTCCTTTTCTTCTCCACTACAATTGCTAAAGAAAATTTATTCCGGAGGAAGAGCTATTCAGTGTTATCAATTAAATGGTTCCTGTAAAATCCCCCAAATATTATATAGTCTCTTCCCCCAAATATTATATAGTCTCTTCCCCCAAATATTATATAGTCTCTTCGTCAAACTCTAGAGATTCCTCATCGTCAAGACAACTAAGGAAATCCTGGAACCGGAACGCAACAAGATGAAGAGGAGGAGAACAAGAAAGTATAGTTTGGCCATTACTGACTAGTAACTAGCTACAATAAATGAATCAATTGGTTTCATATGAAGCAAACACCATAATATAATTCTCAAATCTGAACCACTAGATCAACTTAGTGATTAGTTCAAAAAAAAAAAAGGTCAACCTAATGATGAAGGATATGAATATATAAATTACATGAGATCCTATTTTCTATCATCAATGTCACTATTGTACACAAAAAATAATATTATTCTCTAACATAGAATGCATTTTTTGAAGAAAAAAAAAAGTCACAAGTGGCACCCATCACGGTGCGAAAAAATGTAAACCATTTTGATGACCTATACATCACCTAATAAAGGAACCCAAAAAACTCCTAATAATAATAATAATAATAATAATAATAATAATAATAAGATATGAGAAAGGGCACCTGGTGAGGGTTTCTATCAATGATCGACTGCTCCTTGAATTTGATCTTACATAAATGCTCACGGTTACCGTCCACCCTCATTGTACCATAATGGTCACAGTAGAGTTTCCCTAAAATGAGGTTGTAAATGGAAGTGGTTACCTGATGATAAAATATGTATTAGCTAATTAGAGTGTATGTTGGAAGAGATTGACAAGTGCTACTAACGTAAAGCAAAACTATACCTTGCTCCAACGGAAGACTTCCCCGTCATCAAATTCTACAGTCAATATACCAATAGGATCAAGCTGGATTGAACGACCCCAAAATTTACTTTTTAAATTGCTGTCACCCCAAAATTTCCAGCCACTGCCCTCACAATGGCATGCAACAATCATGGGGTGATGACTGACCTATTTCAAGATGAATAGCGTAAGTATTTTTCTATCAAACCGCTAGCACTTTACGCAAGAAAAAATAATGTCAAATTGTTGACATGCATGTCGTCTATGGCTTACAGAGGATTCAAAATGAATGGGTTGGAATCATGTAAATGCAAACAGCAGCCCCAAATGTTATTGTTAGGAAGAAAAAAAAATGGCAAGTGGGAGAGTATAGTATAAAATGAGCCATTACTGTGACGGGGAGAAGTGGGATAGTGGGAGAAGTAGATGGTTGTAATTTGTAAACCGTGAGGGTGTAAGGAGAGTGAGATTTCATGACAACTTTGTTTATTGTTAGTAACATAAATTTGTAGAAAGGGACAAAAAGTAAAAAGAAGAATCGATTTGAAAAGTGCAAATTAAGGAATGGTAATAAGCACAGTAAGGATTAGCTAATTTGAAAACAAAATAATTATACCCATATTAAAAAGGATAAAAAAAATATATCTAAATTCATTTTTGTGTAAACTATAATTTTAATACTTACATTCTTGTACGATGTATACTTGTATAATTGACATGAATTGTATCCGACATAAATTGATAAAATTACCTATGTTTAATTTAAAAATAAAAGATGTTCTCTTTTTAATGTTTTCTTTTACGTACTAATAAAACAAGAATGCTATTTTAATAACAAAATTAACTATGAAAGTTTGACAAAGATTAACATAAATCAAAAGTACAACATTTAAAATCATCAATTTATAAATATTTAAAGATATTTTAAAATCTACAAAATGTGAGTGTGTGCATGTACATGCAAGTATGTAACATATGTCGAGTCTTATAAATTTAGGGGTGTTCAAATTGCTAAATTGAACTAAACTAGAAGAAAACTAAACTGAACTATAATAAATAATTTATCAAACTAAATTGAACTAAAATAAATATTGACTAAACTAAACTAAATTATTATCTAGTTTAGTGTATTATAGTTCTAGGAGTTTGAACTAAACTATAATATTAGCTAAATTAAACTATTATTAACTATAAACTAAATTGAACTACATTAAAAAAAAATTAAAATCAACATTTTTAAATTGAGCTACCAAATCAATGATATTAATTATGAATTAAATTTAAAATAGTTTGAAATGTAAAACAAGTATAACATTGATAAAAGTCCACATGATAGATCTTTCATTCATATTTTTTGAAAATCAATCAAATCTTATTAATTTTCAATCAATTTACTGATCTTATTATTAAATAAAAAGTTTAAAAATAATATCTAAATATTACATGTAACTATTTTTTTAAGTTAATATGTTCTTTACAAAATAATATGACTTTTAAAAAATATTATAAAAATGTATATCGTTACTTTTATAATATTGTAAACTCAATCGTTAAACTCAATTAATTAATATTATAATTTTTTTATTAAAATAATAATATTTTTTAGCATCAAAAATAAAATTATTTGGATAATAAAGAGATAAGTTTGTACATACTTATATATAATACATTTTTTTAAATTTTTTATAATAATTATATTAAAAATATTGAAAGAGTAATAATTATGAAAGGTATATAAATTTTTATTCAATTAATAAATGAAAATTAATTTTTTTTAATCCTGTAAATTAATAAATAAAAAATATGTAGTTGTGCACAATAACACTAAACCACTAGTATATTGACTCAAAAGTGGACAATAAGCAAAATTAAAAAATTACGAAAAAGACATTAATAATAAGATTTCAGTTTTACTAATAATTTGGTCTAACAAACTATTCTTTTAAAAAATAGTTTTAGATTTATAAACCTGAACATAAAATTCATTTCAGTTCAATTTTTATAAAAAAATAATTCAATTTTTTTCTATTTTAATCCAATTTAGTTATTTATTAATTTAGTTCTAATTAATTATTTAAAACATTTTCTAATTATAACTTTTTTTTAATAATTAAAGTGCACTAAACTACTTTTTATAATAATTTAGTTTTTAAAAATAAACTTAAAATATAGTTTAATTTAGTTTTTATAAAAATTAGTTTAATTTTTTATAATCTAGTTTAGTTTAATTTTTACAATAATTTAATTTAATATAATTTTTTGAACACCTCTACTTATAATAGCTAGATCCATACTACTATGGAAAATCATTGTATATACTCTCCATTTTTAAGTTGTAAGACAGAAAGAAAAAAAAAGTGATAAATAATATGGTACGAACTAGAAAAACATAGGTTACAAAATGCGGTGAAATTATGAATATCATTGTTATATATCTATACTTTATTTTAGTAAAAGAAATCAAAACCCAAATATATTTGGTGGATAAAAAAAGTATTCACTGCAGATAATATTAGAGTTCAAGTCTACTTTTCATCCTGAACAAATAATAATGCGACATTTTTCATGAACAGAATGATATTGGTATAGAATTGTACCTTCTCAGAGATAAAGCGAATTCCTTTGTCTGGATAATCTGCTTCATATGTCTCACCCAACAGTGGATTAAATGGTTTGCAACTTCTACCATTGGTGCTAGCATACCCAGAAACTGCAAATGCTGCCACATGTAGCATCCTCATTAGACTGTTACCCTGCACATAATAAGTAGCATGGAGGTGAGGCATCTCTTCCAAAAACTCCAATATACATACATAACAAGATTTAGCATATATGATTAATTAAAGTTAAACTAACCATTTTACCCCATTCATATGCTTGGTCTAGAAGATAAGAGTACTCTAGATCTTCAAAACATTTCTGCAACGAGGAGATAGGCTCGTTAAAGTAAACAGGGAGACAGACTTTCGTAAGATCCTTCCCGATGTTGTCTTTTATGATTGACCATAGGCTGACGCTACTCTCTTTCTCAACAGGGTCAGGCAACTTCTTTCGTCTCTTGACTTCAGGATAGTTAAATCCAACAGACCCAATCGCTGATTTTTCATGGCCTATCCCATTTGGATTAGTCTCCTCACATTCTGAATCATGGCAGGATCTGGGATGGTCAGAACTTGTTGAAAGAATGTCACATGTATCAAAGAATGCGTCCTCTTCATCGTCAGAGTTATCAAGCCTATCGGGCCCATCAGAAGAATCACCGTCACTTCCTGTCAGAGGTACACACAAAGTCGCAGGTCATCGCAAAAGGAAAAGAAGCGACCCTAAACGTAAATTTATAAACCACACATATGTTTTATTGGTACGTGGCTTTTTAAATAATGATCCATACAAAATGTGTAATTTCAAAATTAAGCAACAAAATTCACAAAAATGAAGAAAAAAAATACGTACTATAATTCATGGGCAAAAGAAATGTGAAAGGTGAGATGAAAAACTAAGCCTGATGAACTTGCACACGTACCACTGTACTTTTCTTGCGTTGATTGATAGGGATCTGCTTCATCACCATCCTTTGAATGCCTTTGGTCTTCAACGAGTGCATTCTCCAACTCAACCTTCTCTGCCTATACACAGCAGAAGGAAGCAAGTAATTAGTTATATAAAAATTAAGGAATGAAGTACGGAAGTGTAGTTAAGTAAAGTACCTACCTCTAGATGGCGCAATGTGTCCATGAGTAGCAACTGCTTCTGCTTGAGAGCGACAATGTGTTTGTGCAACTGGGAGAATTCGGTTTGCATGATTTCCTCACATTCCTTAATAGCAGCCTCGCTGACACCCTCGAGTAAGAGACGGTCTTTCAACCTCTCGGTGGAGATGATGACGGAGGCGACGGGTGACATGATCTCAGCGTTGGGCAAGCGAGGATACATGTCCTTCACCGCCATTATTGCCTCCACCCACGTCGCTCTATCTTCCCTGCTCTCCGCCCTCAAATGCAGCCTCTTCTTTGTTCCCGTACACACCGAGAACCTCCTCTCATCTGACTTGTTCTCCCGCACTGAACAAACCTACCAAAACACAATTCCCATGCAAATATATAAATTCATCAACTTCTATTAACAAAAAAAATAAACTAAGAAATAACAATATTATTTTCTTTTTCATTTAATTAAAATTATATTTTCACTATTTTTGTTTTGTTTATTCTTATATCAAGTTTTAAGGGAGAACGGTTTAGAAAATTAAATTATTTTTTAAATTGGATTAGTATGTAAAATTAAATAATATAAACAATTTTTTAAATTAGTTTCTTTGTTCTTTATACCGAGAACCCGAGGGAGTGAGCTAAAAGAAAAAGTAAATAAATAAAGATATTCAACAAAACATTAATTAGATTTATTTTTAGTCCTCACAATTTCATTTTATTTTCTGTTCAACCTTTGAATATAATTCAATTGATCTTTAAAATGTCTCTTTCAAATTAATTGACCTTTAATCAATTACCACAATAATTTTAATCAATTTAGTGATAATTATGAAAAATGCCTCATTGCATAAATATTCGCTACAACAACTATAATTAACATTGTTAGAGAAAAAAAATATAAAGACTAATTTATTATTTAATAAAAGCCCTATAAAAGATCAAAATAAAAATTTTAAAATTTTAAAAAAATAAAAAACAAAAAATATGAAGGATAAAAATTATTATTTTTTATATTATTTTCTGATTAATGAAAAAATAAATTATATATTAAAAAATAAAATAATTTTACACTGTTTTTTAATTACAAACTAATAAAATTACATAATAAGTCTGTCTATATTTATATAATAATTATTTTAAAAATTATATCAACTATAATTTTTAATTGATTATCTTATTTTAATTATGTATAATCATTAAACTCAATTAAGAATAAATTAACAAAAAATTGTATAAAAAGCAGCATATATATTAGGGGTGGGTAGACGGACCTGGGTCCGCGGACCGGTCCGTAAATCCACGGATTCCGCGGATAACGGTCCCGTTTTTTTCAAATCTGTATGACTATGTCTAATTTTTGAGCCCGACCCTGAAGTCCGCGGACTTAGCGGATTTAATCTGCGGGCTCGCGGGTTAGTCCGCGTACTTCACTAATTAATATTTTTAAATATTATAATTTTAATATTAAGTTGTGTATTTAATTTTTTAAATTATTATGACATTAAAATTATATTTAGTTGGTAGGTATTTGTTATTTGAATTACTTTTATGACATTTTGATACTTTTATTATTGAAAGTTTGGTACTATTATTTAAGTATTTGTAATTATTTTTATTTTAATATTTTAATATTTAGTATTTTAAACCATTTTAACTATTGATAAATTTTAGTATAATAAAATTTAGCTTATAAATAAAAAATATTTTTTCTTCTAATTTTATGTATTTTTATTTTTTTAAAAATTATTTTTTTGAACCATTATTTAGGCCCGCGGACCGTCCGTTATCCGCGAATTTTGGCGGGCTGGATACGGACTTAAAAAATAAGTCCATTTATTTTACGGACCGGACTTTTCCGGCCCGTATAAAACGCGGGTTTTACGGACCGGGCCTTAAACGGGCCAGACCGGTCTGTATACCCGCCCCTAATATATATATATATATAAATCCAACAAGAAGACACAGAAATTAGTACAGAAGTAGTTTAAGCAAAGATAAATTAGGTTTAATTAGTAATAGATCTTAAGAAAAGAAGAAGAATTGATGAATATGGTTGGCATTTGATTTGAATAAAAGAGTAACGTAACGTAACGTAACGTGAATTAACGTGTGTTGAGACATTTATGAATGGTGGTCAAAGTTTAGGATACGCAATTAAAGAGGGAGAGAGAGAGAGGAGGAGGAAATAACCATGAGGTGGATTTCGCTGACGGGCTTGCGGTTGCGGGAGGGGCTGTGGCGGTGGCTGTTGATGCGGCGGAGGGACTCCTCGCCGATGACCTTGGAGGCGGACTCCACGTCGCGGTTGAGGACGAGCTTGTCGGGGCCGTGGATCTTGAAGTAGGAGAGCACGCCGTCGTTCAGGACGAACCAGCGGGGGCGCCACCCGCGCCCGTAGTTCACCCACTTGTGGAGGATGCCGGAGATGCCGTTGCCCACGATGTCGTTCAGCATCACATCGCCGCCTGGGCGGGCGTAGCGCGCGGAGGCGGAGCGCTGGACGGCGCGGGCGGAGGAGCAGGGGCGGGCGTGGCCGCAGCTGGAGAGGGAGCGGAAGCGGAAGGCGGGGGGCGCGGCGGGGGGCGGCGTGGGGTGGGTGTCGGAGGAGGAGGAGCCCTGGCGGGGGATTCGGGCGTTGCCGGGTTTGGAGCGGAAGGAATTCATGGCATAGGAATAGGATTTGTGAGAATTGAGAATGAAAGTGATTCAACAATTTGGAATGAAGAGCGTGTGTGTGTGTGTCTTGTTACATTACAGGGGCACCGTTCTTAGCGGCCACACCATGCAAGGGTGGCTCGTAGTGAAAATCGCCAAATCCTTTTTTTCTTTTTCTTTTTTCTTACCCAAAACAATATTCATATATCTTTCATAACTCTTTTTAATTGCCTCATCACTTTCTTCTTTCTTTTCTCTCACTCTATTACCTTTCTACAATATTTCTTTATTTGTTAAAAAAACATCTTTTATGTTTTATATTCATGTATATTTGTTTGTAGATACTCGATATGGGCGATTATAGCCTAAGTTAATCAATTGACATGTGATGTTATAACTGTATCACTTTTTATTAATAAATATGTATTAATTTTAAATGATACTTCCTTTGAATATATATATATAGGATATGCAACTTTTAAAACAACTTTTTTTTTAGTCTTAAGTTGATCAATACAACTTTCAACACCATGCCTTAAGCATTATCAACTTCACCATCTCAAAAACATACAACATAATGCAAGCATATTCGACATAAATACTCAACTAAACAACATACAACTCAACTCAACTTTCAACTAGTCATCATCTATAAACATCATCCTAGATCAATATATATAACATGAACAACATTTATCAACTTACAACATTCAATAGATTCATCTATTATACTCATGTTCACCATTTGTGAAGTTAAATAATAAGTTTTTTTTATCAAACAACCAATGCCCAATGCCACTCACCTAGCGTCTAGTGCCATTGAGACTAGGAACTCTTTGCCTTACCAATGTCCAACATTACACAACTCACACCCGACGTGGATGAGGTAGAGACCTTGCACTTGGCTTGACAAAGTCCTACATTTGACCTTATTTCATAGAGTCTCTATCTAACTCACACTCGACATCACCATATTGGTGCCCAATGTTGTTTAAGCATAGAGTTCTAGCTTGGCAACACAAGGCACCACTCCACCAGGGGTCCAACATTACCAAGTCGAAGACTTTCTAGTGCTTTTATGTCTAACATCATTCAAACCATGGTCGATGTCATTTAAACTTGAGACAAGCCTTTTCTTCTCATGTCCAATGTCATTAATCTTGCATTTAGTGTGAATCAAGACATAGGCCTTTGATTGGAACTACACTCGACACCATGAAGGCGCGTCCGGCACAACGTGAGTTCTACATTTATGCAAATCACAATTTTAGCTCAATCCTCATTAAACTCAACCAAAACCAAACATGCAACAAAAGATATTGTTCTTACTTATCACAAGCATTTCATTTTCAACAAGAAATTCAAGATGTAACCATAAAATCATCACAACTCATCAAATTCACCTTCATAAACCCAAAACCCTAAGGAGTGTTTGGATGAGGAATATTAGAAATTCAAGGAATTTGAAATTTTTGACATTTAAATTACTTTGATTTTAATTTTCATCATTTTTGAAATATTTTGTTTCAATAAGTTAATTTAAATTTCTTAAATTTTAAATTCTTAGTTTGGATATGATAATTTGATTTCATCATAGTAAAATTAATTTTAAAAATATATTCATATGTTGAGATTTTTAAATTAAATTTTATAAAAATAAGTATTATCCATATTTAAATATTTAATAATTTTAAAAATTAATATTAGATAATATTTAATAATTTAAAAATACTTTTGAATATTCAATAATTAAAGTACAAAGAGATAAGATAAAATATATAAGTGGAATAACAAAAAAAAATGAGGAATTTCAAATTTTTACTTTTTTTTAAGAATTTGAAATTCTACTATTTTAAGAAATTTCACAAATGCTTAGATTTTAAATTATTTATAAATTATTCATCAAAATAAAATATTTTACTTCAAAGAATTTGAAATTCTTCAAACAAATGAATTACTCCATTTAAATTCTCCATCCAAACAAACTCTAAGTTTAACTACTCCCATCAAAACGACGCAGCTTCATGTGAGTGCAACTATTTAACATCTCAAACATAAAAATCAATCCACTAACAACCTAATAATTTAACAAATTCGAGAATCTAGTTTTCCTTACCTCGAAATTGAAGCAATTCAGGGGAGGAAAAGAAGAAAACTTCGAACAATTCAACACACAACTCCGAATGGATCAACAACTTGATTCAAAGTTCCTATTGACTTGAATTATAAATAAATAAAAACTTAGGTAAAATTTTGAGAAGAAATTCACCTCACTAGGGAAGGTTTAGAGAAGAAAGAGACTCACGAATTAGAACACTTCTTTCTAGAATTCTGAAGAACAAAACTTATGAAACTTAATTATAAACAAAAATCTCATATACCTTTTTCTCCAAGGTCAAATTAGACCTTTACCAAAGAAACTCCCAAAACTGCCTAAACTCATAAGAAATCATTGGATCCTAAAGTCCTTCAACACAAAACAACATTCTACACAACATAAAATTAATTAAAATTAACTACAACTTTTCAAAACTCATAGTGTTACATTCATTAACAGTTAAATTTTAAAGTTGTTGTGTCACCTGTCACAACTTAGGTGATGTAACATTTAGTGACATAATATTTAAAAATGAAAAAAATACAAAGTATTTTCATTTATAATTATTTTAATGACTGATTAGTATTTATTTTATTATTATTAAACCTTATTTATATTTATATTTTTCATTTTTAAATATTATATCACCACATGTTATGACACTTAAGTAGTAACAACTCATGAGTTAACACTAAAATTTAAGGATTAACATGTTAAAATCAATTTTTTTATTGTTAAATTTAAGGCAATAAATAACTCTAATTTAAAATAATGAGATTGCAATTGCAAATAAATAAAAATAGCGGAGAAAAGTACAATTTAAATTAGTTTTTTTTTTTTGATTGCTCATCAGACTCATATTTATGCAATTTTTATCTCTTTTTATTTTAATTTCAAACATCAAATTGGTTCAATTATTTTATGTAGATGAATATAATGAAATGAATTTCATGTCTTAAATGCCTTAAAAAGATATTTAAATTTCATCAAAAAAAAAAAAAATAGTTAGCCTACATGCGTACATTGCCGGTTGTCGGGTTCTGTGACTCTAATCCTGTAGAGCGTAGAGTGTCGATTAAGGCAGAAAACTTGCGTCATTTTCTCATTTGTCATTCTCCATCGACAGACAACAGGAGCTGAGGTCTGCGTCTCTCCCACAGGTTAGCCTCACATGCATGCTTCCTCTTCAACACTTCTTTTTATGTGTCATGTTGAAATGAAAACCATTTTCTTCCCCATTCATCTTCTCTTTTCTTTTACATGCATCAAATCAAACACAAACACACCCTTCTCAAATGTTTACAATCCACCACCAAAAAATATTTTCTTTTGCACAAGATACTTGCTGCTAATAACTCTTCCATCATTATCATTCTGCTTCTCTTTCAAAAGGAATAAATAAAAATTTATCATCATAAATTAACCCCAAATAAATAAATAAAAAATGAACTTTTTGTTTTTGGTAATAAGAAGAAATATAGTATAATTCTGAACATAAGTTAAACTAAACATGCAAACCAAAATCTGGTAGATAATGATATTAAGATTTAGTCTTAAGTTGATCAATACAACTTTCAACACCATGCCTTAAGCATTATCAACTTCACCATCTCAAAAACATACAACATAATGCAAGCATATTCGACATAAATACTCAACTAAACAACATACAACAATTACACTTACTCTAGATACTAATTTCATCTATTGCCTTAGGTGTATTTTTGGATTTACATATAAATAAATTTCAACCAAATCAACTATATTTAATGTTCTAAATCCAAAAATACCTTTAAGGAAATAAATGAAAGCATTATTTATCAATGTTTTTAAAATTTTGAAACGTGTAGACAATAGTTCAAGGTTTAATTATGTTTAAATTGCGATCAAACTAATATTAATAAAATAATAATTATTATAACTATTAATATCAAAATAATGTTAAATAAATATAATATCATAGTCTTATAATACTAAAAAAAAATAGAACAAAGCATTATTTATAAGTCCTTAACATTTAATGTATGTAAAATTTTAATTAAACTAAATATAATATAATATTTAAATTTAGATTTTAATAAAATATAATAATTTCCATTAATAATAACAAGTTTACATTTAAAATAAAAAATATATCAAATCAATATAAATTATAAAAATAAAGATATTAAAAATTACAAATTAACATAAATGATAAAATTATATGTATAAGACAAGTGTTGAAATCACGTTATTTTAAATTATAAATTTTTTATTAAATATTTTAAATTAAATTAAAAAAAAATAAATAGACTCATTTTGACCAATTATAGATCGATTTTAAATTTTATATATATATAACTTATAATTTTTTTAAAATTTTATTTTTAGTCTTCAAATATATTTTATAACATCGAAATTTTTGTTCATAAAGAAGAATATTTAAGATTAAATCCAAATAAAATATGTTTAAAGACAAAAAATAAAAATAAAAAATTATAAAATTAATATATATATATATATTTTTTTTTTCATGCTCAAGACTTGTCTAGTTATCCGGTCAACAAAACCATGATAGAGGGTGTGTCGTCCTCATGAAGTCCTACATGCACACAGATAAAAAAAAATACAAGGAGTGAGAAGAGTTTCTATTACATTTAAATTTTATCTAAAAATAAATATATTATCGATTATCTTGTCGACACATTTCTAAAAAGATGTTATATAACTAATATTATTGTAATTAATAATGTATGAAGAGTTTCTATGGTACAAGGCTCTCTAAATTTGATGCATGCTTTTGTGGCTACAAATGAGCAGTTAGGAAATAATGTTCTGTTATCAGTAGTTTTAATTAATCAACATGAGCATCCACTATTAATTAATATGATTTAATATTAATTAATATAAATAGGGCATGATTTCTGACGAAATTTCCGACGGAATAGTTCCGTCAGAAATTTTCGACAGAATATTTCCGTCGGAAATTTTCGACG